TGGTTTATGTGGCAATTTGATGGATATAGAGTAATTTGGAAAAAATAAGTGGAAAAAGACCAAAATGAAAGAAAGCAAAAGTTCGGGGACTAAAGTGCAAATAATCAAAAGCCATGTTGAACCTCACAATGAAGATTTGAGAGTGTTGGAAGTCAATTGAATGAAGAAAGAAGTCAAAGGGGTGAAATATCGTCAAAATAGGATCACACATCAACTTCCAATCGAAAAGTTATGCATCGAATTTTCAGTCTCAGATTGAGACCTATGTTTTATATGGTAAACAATCGAATTAGAAGATGGTATCTTAAGAAAAGTTGTAGATATTTGAGTTAGCTTTCCAAATGTTTTTGAATCAACTCAATCAGATACCTGTGAAGAAAGTTATGACCAAAATATCAAACGCTATTTAGAGACAAACCTGCACCCGCGCACAAAGACCGAAATGAAAGAAAGCGAAAGTTCGGGGACTAAAGAGAAAATAATCAAAAGTCATGTTGAACCTCACAATGAAGATTTGAGATTATTAGAAGTCAATTGAATGAAGAAAGAAGTCAAAGGGGTGAAATATCATCAAAGTAGGATCACACATCAACTTCCAATCGAAAAGTTATGCATCGAATTTTTAGTTTCAATTGGAGACCTATTTTTGACATGGTAAAAGATCTAACTAGAAGATGGTATCTAAAGAAAAGTTGTATCCCTTTGAGTTAACATTCAAAAAAATTTTGAATCAGCTCAATCGGATACTTGTGGAGAAAGTTATGATCAAAATCCCGAATGCTATTTAGAGACAAACCTGTGCGCGCGGGCAAATTCTCTCACGCGTGCATGGACATGAATTTTAATTACTGAGCCTAAAACCAATTAACGGTGCGTGGGTAAGGAAATATACGGCCTCGTGCGCATAGGCATTTTTCACAGACAAATCTCCAGTTTCCGAATTTAAGTCAACCACTTATGGAAACAACTATAAAGACATTTTAAAACCCTAGAATGTACCAGAACGCCTCCAACCTATTTTCTCTCTATTTTTCTTAGATCTATCATGTGTAACAAACTCTTGGTGCTTGATTGAAGGATACCAAAGCCTTGGAAAATATTNCACACATTCTTCATCAATGTACTATTTCAAAATATATGCTTCCAAAATAATATGGTTCAAACACAAAAAAAAAAAAAAAACCGTTGCACAGGAATGGGCACAGTCCATTAGGGCCCATCTTTCAGCCTTCCATAGCACGTGATTGCAATCTTTTCCATTTCCTTTTTCTTTTTCCACTTCTACCCTCCCCTTTGCACCTACCCATTTGCTTGTCTTATCCTATAATTGCATGACACTTTTTGACTTTTCCAAACACATTTTCAGCCTTATTTCTGTGGCTTTTATATCACTTGTCCGGCCATTCACATTTATAAGTATAAAGCATTTGTTGTTTGTAATTTTGTGGTACTAACTAACGTCGCAAGAATGGCGTGAGACACAGAAGTTTTTGAAAGTTTGTTTTTTCCCTTCACGGCATTGACCCAATTTGCATTTTTTTTTGTTTATTTATTTGTATTTCATGTTTTTTTGAGAGGAAAAATGTGAACATAGAATATTTTTATAGTTTTTAATGTGCAATAAAAAATGCGTAACGTAAATCTACGCCAACTGTAAGGAAATTTGAGCGATTATAATGTATCCAAGGGGATATCACACCTATCACATTTTCACTGTTGTTATGCCATATAATCATGAAGTTGGTCTCACTCGCTCCGCGGCAATTCAATTGCATTCATCTCGGCTGCAATTTCATTATCCTCGTCCGGTAGCTCCATCTCCAAAGCGATTGGGTTTGTCTCCACCCTTAATAAATGCCTCGTCAACAACTCTAGTTCATCAAAAGAAGTTGTGTACACCCATTGTTGCCACGACAACTGCAACTTATGTTGGAAACAAATGGCATGGCATACGGTCAAGTATTTTCCATTTTTGTTTCCATACACCAAATGCATGTTCGATTGCATTTCTGAACGATGAGTGCCTAAAATTGAAACTCTTACGAGCATTTAGAAATCTTTCGTATGTGACTTGTTGCTTCGTCTTGAAATTGTTGAAAATGGTACACACACACACACACATATAGGCTGATGCGCGAAATCACTGTCCACTACATAATACTTCCCATGAGCTATTAACGGGAAACAAATGTCTGGGCTATGAATCGTACGAGCTAAAATGCGAGCGTCATGTGTATTTCCAGTGGTGCCCGCCAGTACGAACGTGAAGCATACATTAAAATCGTAGGCTGCAAGTACATTCTACGTTGATATTACTTTGCACCCTATAAAATTGACTCTTTTGTGGTTAGGCAATACTGCTCTAACGTGCGCTCCGTTAATAGCACATATGCAATTATAGAATAACGGATGATTCATGCGATCAAGAATGTGATGATCTGCATCGTTGTTGTTGTTCGGGTCTGATTTTATTATTCGTGCAGAGAGCACGACAACTGCGCAGAGAACCTCCTTGAAGTAGTGGCATACCGTTTATGACTGGACATGGTCCAGTTCAGTTATCTTTAGAATCGAACAGATCCAAAATTTTCAAGTATTTAATAAATGGAACCGTCGGATCTAAATATAATTATGGAACCGTTCGAGTTCGATTCCGTACCATAATTAAATTTTTTAATAGATTTCTAATTGTCAACGATCGGTGGTCGTGGTTTCGATGGGCATTGGAAGGGAAGTCGGACTCGGCAGTCGGTGATTTTGATTTGGGCATGTAGATGTAGGTTTTCAATTTTATCAAATGATTTAGGGTCATTGACTCAGTGGTTACCAAATGAAAGTCTGAATTTGGAAAGAGAATGATAAAAATTTAAAAAAGACATAGATTTTGGGCTAACAATGAAATTAAAAATAGAATTTAGAAATTGGGTTGTGTTGGGTTAGGTTGGGTTGGGTTGGGCTAGGCTAACTAGGAATGGGCCTGACTTAGGAGTTAGAACATTAATCACTAAATTAGTTAATTTGCTAATTTGTTTAGAAAAAAATAAAACAAATTAATTCATTCAATATAAAAAATTAAAAAAATTATTTAAATTCGGTTCTTATTCGGTTCTGGGTTTGGAACCGAGAACCAAACCAAACCCGTCGATTCTCTATTTAGATACTCGTTCGGGTATTTAACTTATGAAGAACCGCTCGGTTCGATTTAGTTTGGTTCGGGTTCGGTTCAGTTCGAGAGTTTTGTCCAACTCTAATACCGTCTGCAACGAATGATTAAATAATGTATGTACCTGCCTGCACCCTTCCCATGAGCATACCTATCTGCTCGTCCACATCAACATGCTCGCCACTTCTAAGTCCATACTTGTCAAGAAGAATATTTGCAAAACGTCTCAACATTGCTGGGTATATTCGGAATTCATGGTAGTAGAGTTGGTCACTACCTTGTATTGCCTTTAACATAAACATGTGCCCGTTCATAGTGAAAGGATATCTCCAAATCCGTCAGCGTTGTTTGTGATAGTAGTTCCTCATGGCACGTTCCACTAATTGGTAATACCATAGCCATTCAATTATATCCTATGCTAGCTTTGTCAAATAGTCCCCCTCGTCAATTTTGTCTTTAGAATCCAACCCCGACAAAAGGAGGCAATCAAAGTCCAAGTCCTCTATTGTAGGACGATGCTTCTTTTTCCAAAAGGGTCACAACAATTGTAACATTGGCAGGGAGTTAGAACCTTGAATGGTATGGGGCAATATTTGTATAGTATTTGTATGTACATTTGGTGCAACCAGACTTCCAATTTATAGTCGAATGTAGGGAGCTCCCATTGAGAATTAATTATTCAAATCCAAGACTTGTCAAATAAAGCCAGACAAGTCATTCAACTTAGGAGTACATCAAAGATATTAATTGCATGTGAAAGTGGGTCCCATCACTATTTGAAATTGTAAAACATGCAACAAATATGACTACAATAATTAACATAGGCCGGGTTCCCGTTTTAAGTGCAAAATATTTAAACACGGGCACATATAGAAAAACGAACAAGGAAAAAAGTACTCATGTCGAGTTGTGTCTTTCATGCTCTGTCCGGACATTGGTTGAAATCTTCGCCGACACTTCATCGACGGCACTGCTCCCGTGGCTAACAGAGAAGGACAATTCGCGATTGGATATTTTCTTTTTTCTTCCCATCTTGCTTGCCCGAGCGCAGACTTATGTTTATCCCCACTGCAAGTGCCTGAAACATCCATGCTCGATTTACTTTTACTTGTCGATGCATCGTCACTTGAGCCACCACCTCATCGTGTATAGGAACGACATTGCGAAGGTCTTCCATACTGCTGTTGATATGAATGTAAAATGCATATTTTTCCTCCTTATTTTATGTACTCGTATGATTATTTTATGTCAAAATGTGCTTATTAATCTCATATTTTGATTTAGGTGGTAATTTGATGAATATAGTATAATTTGGAAGAAATAAGTAGAAAAATACCAAAATGAAAGAAAGCGAAAGTTCGGGGACTAAAGTGCAAATAATCAAAAGTCATGTTGAACCTCACAATGAAGATTTGAGAGTGTTGGAAGTCAATTGAATGAAGAAAGAAGTCAAAGGGGTGAAATATCATCAAAATAGGATCACACATCAACTTCCAATCGAAAAGTTATGCATCGAATTTTCAGTCTCAGTTTGAGACTTATGTTTTATATGGTAAGAAATCGAATTAGAAGACAGTATCTTAAAAAAGTTGTAGACCTTTGAGTTAGCTTTCCAAAAAATTTTGAATCAGCTCAATCAGATACATGTGAAGAAAGTTATGACTAAAATATCAAACGCTGTTCAGAGACAAACCTGCACCTGAGCGTAAAGACCAAAATGAAAGAAAGCGAAAGTTCGGAGACTAAAGTGAAAATAATCAAAAGCCATGTTAAAACTCATAATGAAGATTTGAGAGTGTGAATTTATATTTCTATTTTATTTCTTTTATGCTTGGTCATGTCTTTTCTCAGTTTCTTCTGTTGTCCCTCTATTTTAAACTTGTTGAAATCTATTGTTGATTTTCAACTTTCTAATGAGTTGCATTTCGATTTCCCGCAGCACTATTTCCAGATGGAAGATGGAGTTGTTCATGTCTATGCAAATAAGGATTGTAAGAAGATGCAAAAGCTTTCAATTTGTTCTTTCATAATTAGTTTACTTAGGAAAATATCTTCTTTTTTGCCTTTTGTTTTTTATCTTCTAAAATTTCCTCAATTTTCACCTGCAGCAAACGAGAAACTTTTCCCTGTTGCTGATGCCACAACCTTTTTCACTGACCTGCATCAAATCCTTAAAGTCATAGCAGCTGGGAATATCCGAACATTGTGTCACCATAGGCTAGTTCTTCTAGAACAGGTTAATACTTTCTCTTAATAGTAAAATTTAGCTTTGGATGTTAATATATCATTTCATTACTCAATGAAGACTGAACATGAATTTGGCATCCAGAAATTCAACCTTCATTTAATGCTCAATGCGGACAAAGAATTCCTGGCTCAAAAGAGTGCACCCCATCGTGACTTTTATAATGTCAGGAAAGTTGACACTCATGTTCATCACTCAGCTTGCATGAATCAGAAACATCTTTTAAGGTTTATAAAATCAAAGTTGAGGAAAGAGCCTGATGAGGTAATTCTTTGCTTGATTTTTTCCTAATGCCTTTAGCATTTCATATGCTTGCCCGCTTATTTGGTGAAGTAAAGCATGTTCTACTTGAGATGGTACTGATTAAGGATATTTTTTTTAAGGAAAAAAAAAAGTCAGAATATTAATGCTGGAATATATAAACAAAATCTATTTTATGATTCTGATGAAAATTTCAAGCATTAACTACTTATTTTCAGGTTGTTATTTTCCGAGATGGGACATATCTGACCTTGAAAGAGGTCTTTGAGAGCCTGGACTTAACGGGGTAATGATAACAATTATATATTGTACAATTGGGACACAAAAAAAAAAAAACTGCAACAAAATTGTCGTTTTTTTACAATTTTTCTTATCATTGTCATTATCCTCTTCCTCATAATCATCCTAGTGATGATTATTACTTACTTTTGCTTACTTGAATTTGTGTCAAATAAAATCCAATAGGTATGACCTGAATGTTGACCTATTAGACGTCCATGCTGACAAGAGCACCTTTCATCGTTTTGACAAATTTAATTTGAAGTATAATCCTTGTGGTCAGAGTAGGCTGAGAGAGATCTTTCTGAAACAGGATAATCTTATACAGGGTATGTTCTATTTCTTCTTCTTTTCCACAGGGGGATGGTGAAAGCTTCAGTCCTGTGAAAGAAGCTTTAACTCGTGGGTCTATATATTGGATGAAAATTATGCAAAGCCTTTCTTGCTATTGAAATAAAAATGTGTAAATTAATAGTATCCAACTGGATGTGAATCAGTTATATTTAATAAATAATCAATAACTTATAGTTCATATAATTGTTGATAGATTATTACCTGGGCCACTAGCCCAAGGCTTCTGTTTTTGAGCTTGGATATCTAATACAACTTATGATGTTTCCAACAGGTCGGTTCCTCGGTGAACTCACTAAGCAAGTTTTTTCTGATCTGGAAGCTAGTAAATATCAAGTGGGTTTCCTTTACCCTGTTAATATTAGTAAATGTGGTTGTTATTGTTTGATTAATATTTTTAGAAGGCAGGATTCATTTTAGTTCCTTTTGTGGGCGGGTTGGGGAATGGGGATGGGGATGGGAGGGGAGTGCTATTTGTGCTTGCTCTCAGCATGTATAGGATGAAGGTACATCTATAAAGGAAGTTTCATGTTAATGTGAGTGATTCTTTTCCTGTGTTCTTGCTATTTTCCTTGCTTCATGGCTCTATTTTTCTGAACTGCTCGCTTTCATTGATATCTCGTATCAGTTTGTATCCAGTAGATTGTTTACAGGGTGATGATATCATGGATATGCTTTTAGCATATACTGTGATGGTGGTATCCAGAAGTACAT